ATATATTATACCCAAAATGTGTTTATTGTTTATCATACTTCTTTTTACCCAAAATATACATGTAAATTGAAACAGACATTTTGAAATTGGCCTTTGACAACACAATTCTAAGGATCTACCTTTTGATTTATTATTGCAATGATCACTAATACATAGTTAATCAGAATAACATTAATATTTTATACATTTGACAAACTACTAAACATAAAACACTGTGAATGTGTTAGTCAGCTTTTCATTACTGTGACCAAGTACCTCAGAATAGCAGCTTAGAGGAGAAAAGATTTATTCTGGCTCACAATTTCACAGGTTTCAGTCCCTGGTCAGCTGGCTGCACCCCATTAGGCCTGTGGTGAGGTAGGACGATCATGATGGTGGAGGAAAGCTGTTCACCTGAGGGAGCTAGGAAGCAGAGAGAGCATGATAGAGCAAGAAGCAGAGAGGAGGGGCCAGGAACTAGGTGTGGTTCCTAAGATCATGCTTCCCTGATCCACTCCTTTCAGTTAGGCCCCACTTCCTATTTCTGTTGCCTTCCAGTGATGCCATTACATTAGAATCACCTCAAAGGATTGATCCACTGATGAGCTGGAGCCCTCATGCGTGACCCAAGTGCTTTACAAAAGTTCATCATCTGCCAAACTTGCTTTAGCACCTGAGTTCCAGGTCACATTTTGAACCTAATCTGTAATAGTATTGGCAATGCTTCTGAGGGGGAGACAAAGGGGTGGCTGATGGCAGTGCTTTTCAGACTTTAAGGACATCAAATGGCCCAGGTATCTTCTTAGAATACAGATTCTAATTCAGAATGTCTGGGATGGAGCTTGTGATTCTGTTTCTTTTGTTCTAGCTCTACTGAAGATACTGTAGAGAAGATGCTATGGAGAAGAACACACATATTTAGTGTATTTATCCTGGTGAATTTGGGGACTTCTGTGTTTTATTTTTTAATTTTTATTTTTGGTACCGGGGATCGAACTTGGGTCCTTGTGCTTGCACAGCAGGCAGTGAAACCACTGAGCTAAATCCTGGCCCATGGGGACTCCTATGTCTTAAAACCCACTGGTAATGGTGATATACTCATCCACAGACCACACCTTGAATAGCAAGGGTTGACTATGGTCCCCGATTAAAGGAAGATTTGCTAACACCAGAATTTCTGATTAGATTTGACAGTGCTTTGACATTTTGGGGTACTGCACTCTAGTCAGGTGCTGGGCAAGTGAGATGTTCATCTTCCTCTTGTAGAGAGGGAACAAGACCCATGGGAAGAGGGAAGTGGAAGAGGGAATGTAGATAGTGACATGTTCTCAGCAGAGCAGGGAGGAGTGCAAATGGAAACTGTGGAGGCAGGCTCTAGTTCGATTCCCTCCTGACTCTCTGGGCCCTGGAGTGGCTCTAGTCCAGTTTGCAGACCTCTTTCCTGAAGGAAGATATAAAGATGCTGGCCACCATGTCAGACAGGGTATACTTTTGGACAGGTATGAGTGGACATTTTGAGATGGCTTTGAACAGTTTGGAGAATCCATTGAGGGAGAAACACCAAAAAGTAGAGTTTGGGGCTGGGTGGGGATGGCCTGGGATTCCATCCTGAGAAGTTGCACTTCTTGCCCAGGCAGAGGGAGCCCTGGGTATTGTTGAGCAGGTTGCTTCTGTGAACAGAGTACTTGGGGAGACACATTTGCCGAGAGCTTGTGAGTGGCTGAGAAGGAGTTGCTGAATGAGAACTGTGGCAGTGACTGCGCTACCGGTGCAAAGATTGCCTGTGGTTACTAGGATTCAGCTGTGATTTTTGACATCAGCTTTTGTGCTAGGTGCACAGGCTTGGTTTGATTATCAGTATTTCCTGAAGTGTAGGCTCATTTTTCTAGTGGTCCTTGACATGTTTACACACGGAGCTCAAGGTAATTTAAAGCAGAGCAGATGAGAATAACACTGAAACCCAAGAGGGAGCAGCAATCTCTTGGTCCTGAGCACACCTGGAAAGAGTCCTTTTCACATCTCTCATGCTGCCATTTCCCTCCTGTTCACAAGAAGCCAGCAGCTTAGGCTTGAGGGCTTTGGGGAAGCAGTAGTGTCTAGAGAGGGTTTTACCAAATTGTTTTTATGGAACTCATTTTCTGTGTCCCAGGCTGCAAGTGCTCCTGGTTTCCCACTTTACTGTGGTGATACAGAACTCTTCATTTTAAGCAAATTCATTGCAGTTAGAAGAGTGAGTCAGTGTACTAAATCATGTGGAAGAAGGAATGATTACCTGGTGGTGTGTGGGTATGGAAAAAACTGGTGGCGACATGCATTGGGTTAGACTGAGTGCCAAATCTTGTGCCAATCCTCTGCCCAGCAAGACTCCGGAGGCTCTGGGTGGTGGTGGGGCTGTGGGGAGGGGCCTGCTTTGATCGCAGAGCCTGGGCTGGCATTGCTCAGTCAGCCGGTCAGGTTCCGGGCTGCCCCATAGCAGCCTAACGCAATGCTCCTTGATTCTTCCGCAGAGATCCGCACGCAGCTGGTAGAGCAGTTCAAATGCCTCGAGCAGCAGTCAGAGTCTCGGCTGCAACTGCTTCAGGACCTCCAGGAGTTCTTCCGAAGGAAAGCTGAGATTGAGCTGGAGTACTCCCGAAGCCTGGAGAAGCTGGCCGAGCGGTTCTCCTCCAAAATCCGAAGTTCCCGGGAGCACCAGTTCAAGTGAGAAGTGGCCAAGGTTCTGGGGAGATGGGCAGGGAGCTGGTGGTGAGGAGTGGAGGAGGCAGGGGGTATCCTTTAAGGCACTGGGTCTACAGGGGACTTGTACCTGAGCCTCAGTTGTTTTTATGCCCAAAGTGAAGATAGAAGTAGCTCCCACACAGAAGGCTGCTGCACAGAACAAATGAGAACCTAGCAAAGTACTTGTCACAGACAGAGAGTGCCCAGTGTAGCTGGTGTTATTAGTATCCCAAGTACTAGGCATTGAGCTAGCACCACTTATGCCCACATGAGATCTCTCTCAGGACACCTGAGCCCACCTCTGTGTCTTATCTGGGCACCGCCCAGCCACTTACCAGTCCCCACAGCACGATGACCTTCAGACTTCATCTGCATGGAATGAGTCTTCAAAGTGTTTCTCTTCTGGTTCCCCTAGAGGACCACAGTGCCCAGGCTTTTGCCAGCCTTATTGTTATATTTAGGATGCACAAATCTTCCCTGTCCCAGTTTCTGACACCAAGCTTTAGTGCACAGAGACCCTATATGCATCTTCAACCACGAGTCACAGTGCTGGTAGAGCTGTCCCTGGAGCCAACTGTGACATGGGCTGCCCCCAGTCATACAGCCAGGCTGTGTGCGGGGCTTGGATCTCATCTCCTTCCCTGCTCCTTCCTTTTGGTTTGGAATCAGTTCCTTTCCCATTTGAAGAGTGACACTGGGGAGAGGCTGGATGGGGGGACATGGGAGGAGGTCCCTACTCCCTTGAATCACCTATAATGAGCTTGGTCAGCCCCTTATGTGTTCATTAACTGAGCCCCCAGACAGAATGGGAGCCCCATCTGGCAGTCGGGCCAAGCAGGCTGCTTGCCACACTATGAAAGTCTAATTAGGATGTGTCCAGGCCAGTGCAGCTGGGGCAGGCTCTCTGTGTGCTGCTGTGATGATGGAGTCCCCAGTGGGTAAGGATGCAGGGAGTCTCTAGGGCAGGCTGGATTCACCCTTGTCCTAGGGCACTGACTGACCCCACCTGCCTCTTCTTGGGAGCTCGCTGCACAGGAGCTGTGCTGGGCTGTGGCCCTTCATCCTGGTGAGTGGGAAGCCCTGGCTGCCATTCTAGGGAGTCCTCCTGAGAACATTAGTCTACCTTGAGGGCAGGGCTTGGGTGTTATTTTATTCTCACTGTAATGGGCCCAGTTCATCCAGTAGAGGGGAGATGTTTATGAATAACAGGGAAAAGGAAAGGAAGGAGAGGGTAAAGGAAAGAGAGGAGAAAGGAGGGAGGGACAAAAAGGACGAAGGAAGAGAAAGCAGGAAGGTGTTATGGTTTAGATCTAAAGTGTCCCTCAGAAGTCTTGTGTGTCCAGAGGTGGGGCTTTTAAGGCAGTAGATTAATCCATGGAGGAGATCATAATTTGGTGGCATTATTGGGAGGTGACAGTAACAGATGTGGCCCGGTTGGAGGAAGGTGGTCACTGGGAACAGGCCTTTGAAGGGTGTATCTTGTTCCTGACCCCTCCTCTCTGTCTCTCTCTCTTTTCCCCCTTCCTCTACCATGCCCTCCTACAATGATGTTTCTGCCTCCCCAAGGCCTAAAAGCCATGGAGCTGACCATGGCCTGAAATCTCTGAAACCAGGAGCCAAAATGAACCTCTCCTTCGATCACAGTGATGAAAAGCTGACTAACACAAAAGGGAAAGTGAAGAAAGGGAAAAAGAGAGAAAGAGGAAGAAAGAAGGGAAGGGAGGGAATATACTTGGCATCTGCAGTTCATTCTGGCTGAGAGACCTGGTTCAGAAAGGGAATCAGTTTACCCAAGATCTGATAGCAAATGAGGGTCAGAACTAGGGCAAGAAGTGAGGTTCCCTCACTCAAGTCCAGTGCACCCCTCTTGGCTCTGTGGACCATGTATGTCTAAGGCCTCAGCTGCTCCCTATCCACCTGTAGCTGCCAGGGGATACTGTGTTTGGGGGTAACCTCATCTGGCTGAGTTGCCTATGGCACATGATTCAAAGAAAGGCTTTAGTGATGGCACTGAGGAGTCTCCCTGGGGCAGGTGGGACATTTAGAGAACAATATCATCACACATCTCTTTTCTAACAATGCATACTTCCACTTGAACAATTCCTTTTCAGAGAGCTGTGGCATTTTTGCTTTCTTATAATCTTGACAATAACCCAGGGAGGTAGAGAGGGAGCCAGAGTTTCAATCCCAAGCACACCAGGCACCAGAAAAGTGAAATGGTTTCTTTTACCAAGGATATACAGTGAATTATTGGGCTGGAGAATCCAGGCAGGGGTCCTGACTGCCAGCTCGGGTTCCCTAAGAGGCCATATGGTCCTTCATTTATTTCAAATATGTGCACAAGGACCCATTGCTTTCTGGTACTGTGCTTAGTGGTAAAGACACAAAGATAATTGAATTGAAATATTAAAATATGACTTGGAGATGTTTGTAGTTGTTGTGGTTGGAGCAGGCTCCCAACCTCTGTGGCTATGCCCTTTGAACCCCTCAGCTCTTAGCATTTAGATGTCACTTTCTCTGTAAACCTCCCCTGATTCTGACCTGGTTCCTTCCCCTGCCTGCCCATAACTCTGATGTATTTACTTATTTTACCATTATTTATTGAGCACATACCACATACCAGACCCTGTGTCTATAATGGTAAACAAGATAGGCTTGATTTCTGCCATGATGGAATTTTTTGTTTTTTGTTTTTTTGGTACTGGGGATCGAACTCAGGTCTTTGCACTTGCGAGGCAGGCAGCAAAACCACTGAGCTAAATCCCGGCCCTCATGATGGAGTTTTTCATCTAGTGGAGGGGAGAATTTAAAGATAAAACATAAAAAAAACAAGTAAAAGCAAGCATTGATCGAATGATTGCCTTAGTGGACATAAATACAAAGTGAAGTGTTCTAGCTGTTGGTTCTACATAATAGCAATATCCCCAAGTTTAATGCATCTTCTAATTTACTGGGTCTGGGTTGTGGATAGGGCTCAGTGGAGTGATTCTTCTGCTCTATGCAGCACTGACCCAGATTGCTAAATGATATTTGTCTGGCACTGATCTGCTCTGGAGGACCCACAATGTCTTTACCTGTGTGCCTGACACTTTGGTTGGGGATGGCTGGAAGGCTGGAGTGTCTTCTTCTTTATGTAGTCAAGACCTTTCTCTCTGTCTGGGCACCAGACTTCGGACAATGTTGCTCAGGCCTGTGAGACAGGAAGATGTCACCTGTGGTGGTAATGAATGTTAGGCTGGAACCAGAACAGCTTCTTCCCCTGGATTCTTTCTTTCAAAGAAGTTTTAGCTCTAGCTCTGTTTCAGGGCAGGGGAAGTAAAGCCCCTGGTTGGAGGGGTGTTAAGGGGCTGCTGGGCTCCTTCCTCCTCTGTCCTGAGCTCAGGGGGTGGGCAGGGAGGCTGCTGGAGGAGGCAGTATCTGTGCTGAGACCTGGGGGACAGGAAGGGGTAGTGGAGGGGAAGCCAGGTGCTGGAATGGCTGAGTGAGGGGTGGGTGAGAAGCAGGAGTAGCACGATTTTATTTGTCTGTTTAAAAGACTTCATTGGGCTGGAGGGCACAAGAGCCCCAGAGGAGCTGTGGAGACCCACAAGGTGTGGGTGTGGCTCCCTAAGCAAAAGCTAAGGATGGTCTGGGGTCAGAGAAGAAGGGGCAAAGGAAACAGAGGCAGGGAAATCTTTCCGGATGGAACAGAGGAGAGGAGTCAAAGATGCCCATTCGCAGACTTGAGGTGGAAAAGGACTTGGAGAGGGTGAAGCAGAGCCTCTACCCTGTGTTGTCACTGCCCACTTGCTTCCCTTTGGACCGGCACTAGGCTGCAAGCTGCAACACGGCAGAGAGGCTGATGAGCTGGGCCTTCGCACACCTAGAACAAGACTGGCGCATGGTTAGCACAACATGTTTGTTGAATGAATAAATGAAAGAATGAAAGTTAAGTCAGAATTAGAGCTTCTAGAGGGGGCAGTATGTCTTCTGGCTGCCTTAGGACTTGGGTGAGGCCCTTAGGGCAAAGTGTCATCACTTGAGTATCCGGCACCTGATGTCATGTTGCTGTGAGGACAGAGTGGACATGGCGTTTGTCTCCCTGTCTGGAGAATGGAGCCAGCTGTAGGCCGAAGTGGAGGTTTACAGGGCATATTCTCATGGAGGCTTGACCCAAACACAGAATCCAGGCCTCCCTCCAGGCCAGGAACCCTGGGGCCTGACCCAGCAATCTGCATTTTAACAAGTCCTGTTGGGAATTTTTTCTTCACTTTAAAAGATATTACATTTTTATCAGTTCATATTAGTTATACAGAATAATGGGCTTCAGTTTGGCATAGGGTATATGCAGGAGGTAATTAGATATCCAGGAAGAATCAACAAATGGGACTACATCAAATTTAAAAGCTTATGCACAGCCAAAAAAAAACTGACAGAGTAAAGAGACAACCTACAGAATGAGGGAAAATCTTTGCCAGCTGCTCTTCCAACAAAATATTAATTTCTAGAATATATGGAGAACTCAACAAACTTAATACCCCCCAAACAAATAACTCAACCAACAAATGGGCAAATGAACTGAACAGACACTTCTGAAAGAGATACAAAGGGCTACTCACCCTCAGAGCTGCCAGCTTGCTCCTAGGCTGTACTGGCTTTCCCTCCTGCTCACTGGGATAAAACCCAGGGCAGACCTCCTTTTGAAGGCCTGGAGCTGGGAGCTCTTCCTGAGCAGGAAGGTGGCAGGGAGGGTAGGTGGATAGTGTGGATGTTCTGGTCCAAGCAGTTGGGTGTTCCATGAAGACAAAGGTTGCTGGGACTAAGACATTTTCCTCTTTCAGAGAAATGTTTTCTAAAAACATCAATACTATGAGGGGGTGGGGGGGAGAGAGCGAGAGAGAGAGAGAGAGAGGAAGGAGAAGAAGAGAAGAAGGAGGAGGGGGAAGAGGAAAAAGAGGAAGAGAAAAGAAGAGAGAAGGGGGAAGGGTGAAGAAAAGAAGAGA